ATAGTGTCTGAAGTACAGCTAAGCAGATAGGACCTGGGTAAATTTTATTCAAAATAGATTCATATCATAAAGGCTGATAACATTGTACAGTTTAATACTCACTGTAAAAGCAATTTTTCAGTTGCTTAAAATGTCACTAAGGCAGAGCAAATTATAATCTGGTGCTTCCTGCAAATGTGTTGACACAGTTCATTAAATCAGTCATTCTTCTTGACAGGTTTTCAATACATTTCTGGAACGTGACTCTCCTAAGTGTACTCAGTGGATTATACGCAGGATCATTTGCCTGTTACTCTTACCCATTGCAACCTGAAAGGATTTTAGCCTCATCCTTTGTTCTGTACCTTAAATTCCCATGCAGTTCATTAGAAGTTAATCACCTGATTTCTTTCCTTCTCAAAGGCCAGATGTTACCATTCTTTGTATTTACTCTCATAATCTTATCTTTGAAGAGACAAACCAATTTAAGTCAATTTACCTACCATTATAGAAAGGGGTTTATGTACTATTGCAGAGAAAACGTGAAACCTTGGCAAGATGAAGCAGCTGATACTGCTCTAAAGTATTTTCCTTGAAAGCTTTTCACTGGGACACCCCTAGAATAACATTCCAGTTTCCAGGGCTGGGCCGAATCTGGTGAGGTGCTTTCCTTGAGGGCTTCAGAGGCTTTCACATGCCCAGGGTGTGGGAAAGCAGAGAGCATCCATCACCCCATGGGACTACATCTATTCTATGTGGTTAAAATAACAATGCGTGAAGGTAGGAGTTGATCCTTCCAAGTGTACATCCCACTTTTGTCTTCAGTGACCCTATTTACAAATTTGTTCCAGACAGCATACAGAAATTAAACAAATGCCTGATGGGGTGTCAAGAACAACAAGTTGGCATTTGTTCTCCCCCTGTCGTCCCATCCCCTCCCCCAAGATACTGCTTTTTTGCTTGCCATTAGGCTTCAATAAATATCATCAAATCAGTTTTCTGGCTGGGCTTAGTAACATCCTGTCCTTGGAGCAGTTTAGGCTCTCTTCACATTTCTGTATACCTCCAACTCTGCGCTAAGGCCCTACCTCCGACTCTGTGCTAAGGCCCTCGTCCCTCATTCTTCATGCATTTATTGAAGTTCAATTATTTTGTTCACACCTGATAATGTACTTTATTTGCAAATCTCATCTTTGATATTTCATTTTTGTTATATAGAAATGTTCCAGATTAAAAAAAACCAAAAACAACAAAGGCAAGGGAACCTTTTTCTTTGATATTTTTTCCTCTCCAAAAATAATTAACTACTTTGTTTGATTTTTTCCCCTCCTTCAAAATAGTGTTAATCACATAACCTCTGCATCCGTGATTCATACTAAGCATATAATGTAACAGTGGGTATCGTTATCAATCCTTTGCCCCTGTGTTAGTGAGGTCAGATAGACATCATCAGAGCTAGCTAAGGAAAGACAATTTCCCCAGCACACGTTGATTTAGTGAGGCCAGACTGTATCTATCAAAGTGTTTGTGTTGAAGGAACTTGCACTAAATCCTGGATCCTTCGTCCCTCTCTGGAGGACTTAATGCTTGCGGAGTCTGTTGACACAGCAGGGCTTTGCTAACTTGGAGCACTCCGATGGAAACGGGTTACAGAGTGCAGCAGAAGACCTTCACCAGCGGAGGAGAAAGCGTGGAGAGCCAGCATGGTAACTGTCCCCCGCACAGCCACCCCTAGAAAAAACTGCCGTGCTCATCTTAGCGCAAAAGCTTAAAGGCTGCTGCTGCGTTCCCCTTCTTAAGCAATTTGATTTGGGCTGCATGGCGGGAAGGTAACACAAGGTGAGTACACAATGTAATAAATAAACAGAGAAGAAATTTTTCTTGCTCTTTTTCCTTTATCATCCCCTTTTTTGTCCTTCTGTGCCTGAGCTGGTCTATCTTCATAAACTGTTGTTTTCATTTGTCTGTTGTAATTTTTTTTTTCTTTCTTTTTGTTTTCATCTTCTTTTCTTGGAAACCAATATAAGTCTGGTGAGGACCTGCTGTTGGGAACAATAAATAAAGAATGGGTGTATGTTTCTTCTGCTTTGGGGAAATACGTTGTCAAAATGTTTAGAATGTTTTTTCAGAGACCGGTTAGAATTCCATGGACAAGTATTACTGAAACCTTGATTTTTATTCCCAGCATGTACTGTTTAGCAAATAACACTTTTGTCCAACTTCTAGCAAAGATGCTGCAGCTGCGGTTTTCTTTTCTGCCTTTTCTTGTCTTTGTGAAAATAAATCATCACCACTCTGTGGCAGTAAAACAGAGAGGTAACGGTTCTCATCTTTGGCATTTCTTATCCTTGTCAAAACAAATACTCGCATCTGTGCAATTTAAATGTGAAATGATGTCTTCCCTTTTTGGAACCAGCAAATACTAACAACAGCAAGCTGTCACCTGAAAAGAAAACAAACAATTAAAGAGAAATTTATGCTAAAAATTCTGTATTGCTCAGGAAAACAGAGCTCCCGTCCCTGAAAATTCAGCCTGCACCTTTACAAAGGAGGTTATTGAGGTTATGAGGTTATGATAAAAGTGACGGTGATGTTCTGAGTTGCTGAGAGAGGTAGTAGCAAATAGTACCTTAGCTCTCAAAAAGTGCTGAACGCGGAGCTAAAGGAAAAAAAGTCTACCATGGGCTGCCCATTGAAAACATATTCGAAGAATTGTTAGGGTTTCTGCATAAAAATTTACTGAAGGGACTGCCCTGAGATCTAAGTGTCTTGAGAAAGAAAACACTAGGAGGGAGGAGACCTGGCTCCACCAGGAGGACTTCAGGGCACCGACGAAACAAAGCACGTTAAAAGCTTGTGGCTTAGCAGTGAGGAGCACAAAGATGTTTTAAGTAGATCACTGGGGCTGGCCTAAAGCAAAGTAGCAAGATCTGAGTAATTAATGTAGGAAATAAGGTTGTACACTGGTCTGGGTACATGATTCATGATGCCTGATTAGGGACATGGTTTAGCGGTGGGATGGCAGTGTTAGGTTAACGGTTGGACTTGATGATCTTAAGGGTCTTTTCCAACCTAAATGATTCTATGATTCTATGCTGAAAGTGCTTCATAGTCAGATTCTTACACCATTACAGCAAATAGGGCTCTGCAGGTCTCCTGCATGAAGATCTGTTTAAATGTTCTCCACTGTAAATGCCTCGAGGAAAGGGTTGTTTTGCTTGTATATTGCCAGACACAAAAGCTGCTTAATCCTGCTTGATGTCTCTGAAGACTGCTGCAGTAGGGCCATTCAAAAATAATTGATACATGTTTATGGATTGCTTCTTACATTCATTAAGACAAATTAAATCAAGTTCCATCGTATCCTCAGTCAAAGAAAACCTGAAATAATACCTCGAGTTCTTCCATTTTCACACACATCAAAGCCTGAGAACACCATTCAGGCTGTGCTGCTTGTTCAAACAACGGGCAGAGAAGCAGGACTGGCTGGTCGAATAGGCAAACACCTTACGGACGCAGATAGGCCAAAACAGAGCTCCTTTACTGAAATACCTTGACCCAATATTGTCAAGAACAAAATGCTGCCACCGATGTGGCAACAACAAAGACGGTTTACCAGCTGGGGTTTTTTTCCCTTTCAGACAGATGTGTCTTCTCCCTGTCACAGAGATGTGACAGGCTGTTGTCTACCGACCCCCAAAGCTGCCCTGAGCTTCCCATCCAGTCTCTGCAGCCCACAGGTAGCTTCTCTGCTGCCACCATCCCAGGTCTTTGTAACTCAGCAGACGGCAAGGCCAGAAACGTGCCCAGCAGGCACCACTGGGTTTTGGTCATCCACCATAAACCCTGTGACCTCTTTGGTAGAAATGAGCGGGAAGTCCCAGGCACAGCTGGCACGAGCTGCACCGAGGACAGACCCCACAAGGAGGGACACACCAGGAGTTGGCAGCATCGGCGCCTTGGCCTTGGTTAGAAGCGGTTTTGCCTCGTTAAGAATTCAGAGCTCCGGATACCCCACAGGCTTCCCTTTGTGAACATTTAGCCCAGTCTGAAGAAGGAGGAGGCCAAGGACTCCTGGCCCGGCCGAGGCCCTGGTGTGCCACCTGAAGCTGGACGGGAATCGCAGACCTGCTGTCTTCAGCAGCTGCTCTAAGCCCCCAAACAAAACAAAACAAAAAACCTAGCGGTAATCACCACCTGTATTTTACACATCCTGAGCTGTTTATCAATGGTAGGATGACATTTGTGCTTTTTGTCACAGTGCTACATAGCGAATGTGTATTTGATCACCACTCTATTACAATTCCTCAGTCTTTTTGCATGTTAGGGGATATCTCTTGACACGGCAGCCTGGGGCTTTGCTTTGCGGGGTTTTTTTTGAGCTAACATAGGAACCAGATCTTTCAAGAACTAGAAAAGACTATTTTTTTTTTTTTTTTGTCAGCGCTCAGGTGCAGCTGATCCAGTTCCACCGGCCGTGCTCAGCCGAGCAAGGTCACTGCTCCACCTGGTGGGCAGGAGGCTCTGAGGAGGGC